AAATCTTTTTCAAAGAAAAGGTTTGTTTGTATCATCTGTCCTTAATTTTCTTGATTGCATGATTTTTTTTAAATTCTTTTTTCATAAATACACAATTCCCACTTTTCTCATACATTCGGAAAAAAAATTAAAAGATGTGAAAGTGCAAGAATGTCCCGTCCAGAAAATTCGAAGCTTCATACGATTTTTTTTATAGTTTTGTGTTAAATGCTATTGTAATATATTGGTCGATGTATCATACAGAAAATGTGAGAAAATACTACACTTCAAAACTATGTCTAAGCACCTTTAAGCGTTAATCTTACAAATTAAAGGTCCTGTAATTTACTTTGCAATATCTCCAATATCTAAATTAAATTTGCTATTTCAATTTCACACAAGACATAAAAGACAAGTAATTGTTTGCCTGAAAATACCATCAATATCTGTAGAACCTATAGACTTGATAAGGAATAAACGTTTACAACGAGGGGAGGGGATTACATTATATCACTAGATTAAATTATGAAGATGTTGCACAAAACATCATGAATTCATGCTACATATCAAACCGATGAAAAAGGCGTTTTCAATTGTAACCGTAACAAGATGTGAAATGTTCGAACAAGATGTGAAATGTTCGAAGTCTCAACTGCAAATGATCGTCAAGAATAGTGTCACCCTTTACATTAAATTGACAGATGATGATCAAATTGCGCTAAAAAACCAAACTGCTACCTGATAGTTCGTAATAGGATAAGCGTAAGGTCACTGTAGCTCTTCGAAGGATCTTTAGAAACATAGAGAGATCATACTGGGAACGTATTGGGACCTTTGTAGGAGCGTACTTGATAAGATCCCACGCTTTTACTGCACTTTACTACGATCATAAAGATCTCTTCACAATGTTTCTGAGTTATTTGTACGATTAAGACGCTTCTACTACTCTCTTTTACGACTTTACCCCAATTGTTATTCAGATCCTTCTACGCTGGTTTTTAGCTTGTTGAAAATAAATATCGCTAGGGCGTAGAGTTCTCCAATCATGAAGACCCTACCGCGTTTATACTGCGCTTATAAAAACTCGACTTCGTTTCTTCTGCGATTTTTCCCGATCGGACACGTTTTCAGAAAAGCTTTGGTCGTAGTAGAATCCACAATCATACTAGAAAAAAACTACTTTTACAATTGCAACGGTCTGCTTAACATCGTAGTAGAAGTGTGATAGCAGCGCGTTTGACGTAGGGATATCGTACAAGCCGATCTGCCCCGATTCAAAAAATTACAGATAGTGGCTTGATCGGGAGTATTGTTGTAAAGTCGCATCTCTATGTTGATTTGATACGCAAGAACATGATCTATATCTACGTATGCATATTTTTTTAAAGAGGTTAATTCTTGAAAACCAAGTTAATGAAACAAGAATGTCAGCAGTCTCTCATCATGCCGTAAGTTGTACAGTCGATACAATGACTCAAATGCTGACTGACAATTTCATACCAATTGTAAGTAAGTTGACTATTTACACCTTAAATTGACGACAGATATTTCCATTATATCCTTATCATGACAAGAAGCAAGACCGGTCTGCAGGGGATGCTCATTCCTCAATGGCACCTGATCCCACCTCTGATGTTTTGGAGGAATGTGTTTGCTATGCTTCTATTTTTGTATTGTTTTACGAAACTTTGAGCTTGACACCACTTGTCAATTTCATTTCAAGACTTTGAAAGTAGCATGTCTTTTGACTACACTAAGGAACCAAACAAAATAAAATTGGCGGTCCACTTGTGTTTATCATTATTTACAGAAATTATGAAAACCCACAGAAAGATGTATGAAAAAAGACGATAGTCTGTTAAATATTGGCGAACATATGACACCCTTTTGGTCCTCAAGCTCTTGCAAAGAATATCTGTTATCATTCAAATTCCGAATTGTACTAGAGGTTCTTTTCAGGAAATGATTTTATGGGCAGCGGAAAGGGCAAACATTACCATAATGAGAAAACAAACAATTATTTGAATTTCAATGACCATAAAAACTTAACAAATGATATACAATGCATAATCAACAGACGTTTTCGAAGAACAAATATACATTAAAGCAAAACCAACGACCACGTACGTAGCAATCATATATGAATGCAAAACCAACGATCATCTTTGCAGAACAAACGTACATAAAAACACGACAAGCGATAAAAACTTAACAAACGTGCACGCAGTAAATCTAGTCTTCCCGACTCCCGGCTTCCGACGGTCCCGTTTTTTTTCTTGGCAATTTCTTTATATTGTCGGTGCACAGAAATTCTTCAAAGTTCTCATGCGCATTTCCTTTTTAAATGAATTCAATAATATATCAAAACTTCGACAAATTAGCGCATTTATTACTGAATCAGCAGCAGCACCTTCCAAAAAGCATTAAATGTAGTTCTCCGTTATAAATATGAAAACCAAAAACGGACATCGATACAGAGAGACGTAAGGTGTCGTAGACAGTAAAGGTGCATGGACACATATTTGAAGTTAATATTTTCTGTATAATGTTACGACTTATACGAGGGCTGTCCGTAAAGTTCGTGGACAACATTGATAATTACTGATAAACATGGATTAAATATATGAAACTATTATTTTCATTAAATTCATATATCATTTTATAAACATGCAAGTTTTCAACAAAAACAAAGCACAAATAGTTAAATTTTTATAAGATTAAAAAAAGATATACACTCATACCCGGAGCACTAAAATGAAAATTCTTGACGTTACCCGACGTCAAATGCATATAAACGAGTACATGTAACTTTTCTCAACAGTCACCGTTTAACTCAATACATTTCTTATGTCGCTTGAACCACTCATAAATATGTGCACAAAATGTTCAGGTTTCACACGTAAAATAATATTTAACAATGCTTGTCTCATAATCTGTAATCACCCAACCTCTATCCGCGTAAAAATGATTTTATTTGCGGAAATACTGTAAAGTCACGTTATGAAAGTCATTTTTACAGCACAGCAATCTCAGAATTATGGATTTCCTTTACGCATGTAATCCTATAAACTGTTCCTTCCGTCCGAAAATATTATATGCCACTTGAATACTAATGTACGGCTAATTTTACTATGTTTTCCCGATTGTTTACAAAATGTATTGGTCTCTGTAGGTGTTTATCCGATGTCTACGCAAAATTTTATCACTGCTCACTGCTCCGCCTATTCCGAAAACGTCCCTTTTTTGGAACAATTCCGATCCGTCTTAATAAGTTCAACCTTTGATTGCTCAGTCATTTTACAACTTTGAACATTCAAATTTTGCATGTTTGAAGTGATAGCTTCTGTCAACCTCATAATGTAAAAGTCATCCAGTTTTCTGCAGAATCTTATAAAATACAAATGAAATTTATAAAGAGATACAGCTTTTTTTAATTAAAATTTTGCGGTGCTCCGGGTCTCCATTCCAAGTCTAATTATGAAGCCATAATTGAAAATAAAAATTTGAAATTGAATAAGATTTTACATTTTTCAATTCACATTTAGTAAAAGATTAGAAATATGCTAATAATATATATCAATGACGCAACTTTCATTAAATTCTTAGCTTGTCCACGAACTTTACGGACAACCCTCGTATATATTGTTATAGCATTTCACACAAACATATATTAAAAATCTTATTTCAGCTAAAAGTTATTAAAACTTCAAACTTTTAGACAGGTTTGATCGACACATCCTTGCACTCTCACAAATTTTAATTTTATTCTTAATACTTGCGAAAAGTGTAGGGTGGGGGTGGGGGGGTGGGGGTTGGGGTAGGTTCAACTTCTTTCAGTACCATTTTTTTCCTAATATACATGTACTTCATTTTGACCTTACTCTTAAAATTGGGAAATGTTGCTACGTACTTGTAATATGATATGTCATTGTAATGTAGATTCTTGTAATATTTAAAGAATCGGGGGAAACCAATTCATGTAACAACAACAAAATAAAAAATGACGAAACGGCCTTCAGGAGAATGATTTTTTTTTTTCATTTATGTAAATTCTTTTCTTTTATTTTAAATTTTAAAGATAAATTAACCAAAAAAAGGTAAAAAAAAGGGGGGGGGGGTTCCGAGGTAGAACCACGTCCATGTTGTAGAGCCTGGGAACATGAACATGATGTGTCAAAGATTTCTATACAAAAAAAATGTGTGGGGAATTTTTGTGCATACAAATTATCTTGCATATAAATGAGGGTTTTCATTTATTTTTAAAAAAAAATACATCAGTTTGTTATTTTTAAACGCAATTCTACGAAAACATCGGTATCCTTTTTTCTGGGGTTTTTGCATTTATAGCTGAGTACTAGATTTACCGCGTTTTGGCAGATGATATTGCCGACGCAAATTTGTTAAAGTTATTAATATATATATATATATATAATTTAATTATTTTCTTAAACATAGAAATGTGCCTGAGAAGTGTGAAGGGTTTCTATGCGACGACAGAAAGGAAATCGCCAAAAACAAACAAACAAAAACCGGGACTGTCGGGAGCCGGGAAGACTAGATTTACCGCTTGCACGTTTGTTAAGTTTTTTTCGCTTGTCGTGTTTTTATGTACGTTTGTTCTGCAAAGATGATCGTTGGTTTTGCATTCATATATGATTGTTACGTACGTGGTCGTTGGTTTTGCTTTAATGTATATTTGTTCTGCGAAAATGTCTGTTGATTATGCATTGTATATCATTTGTTAAGTTTTTATGGTCATTGAAATTAAAATAATTGTTTGTTTTCTCATTGTGGTAATTTTTGCCCTTTCCGCTGCTCATATGATTTGACATGAAAATGCAGTGCAAGTACTTCAAAGTTAGATTAACACATTGACTGTATTTTGCTTATCGTATATTTGTGTTCTTATACAGCATGTTTCTTTTGGTAACGTGACCGTCCGGTGACAGGTCAAGAACAATGTAAGTGTATATAATCTGCTGTCGATGCATTTAGTACAAGAGAAATCTGTTAAATGCAACATGTTTGTCTTAACTGATTTCTTGTTGTCGGTGTCTTCAGCCATAAGTGTCAATCCTTGGCGCCGTTCAGCTGATTCTCTCTCTGATTTGGTGAGACGTTTCAATGATTTAGAACAGAGACTGGAAATGCAAGAAAAGCTTAATGCTGAGCAAGAAAAAGTCATTGAAATATTGAACATTAAAAATGAAAAATTACAGGAAGCAGTGGAGACTCTCAGTTCTGCAAAGGAAAAGAAACAAAGGAACGATTACAGGTTGAAATTAAGTAAAGGAAGTAAAACAATAATGAGAAACGAAACAGCAACAGAATTTGGAATGAACTCGGATCAAAAATCCTCTACATCTCATGCACCTTCTAGTCAAATTAATTGTTGTGAAAAACCGTTGTTGACGTTACAGTACAAAAAACATAAAGGGAGATCCGTAACAGGTATGTTTCAAGATGAAAGAACATCCAAAGATTATCAATATATTTAAGTATCTGTATATAATTATAAGAAAATAGATATCCTTGATAGTCTTTTTAATCTACTTTTTTATTCATTAAGGTGGAGTTGCATTCCACGCGTACTTGTCACATAATGAAAACAATCCAGGAAGTCACCAAACTATAATTTTTGACAACATCATAACAGATATTGGTGGTAACTATAATCAACACTCGGGAGACTTCATTTGCCCAGAGAATGGGGTGTATACATTTTCGTGGACATTGTTTTGCTCTCGTGGTGGATATATCTATTCCCAAATCGTTGTGAATTCGAATTCGGTTGGCGCTTTGTTTTGTAGTGGACAAGGAGCAGACGAGATAAGAGCAACAACGGGTGTGGTCGTGGTAGAGATAAACCAGGGAGATGTCGTGTATATAAGGACACATCCTTCAAACCCCATAGTCGGAACACTTTATAGCAAGACTACTTACCGATCATCATTCAGTGGATGGAAACTGTTTTAACTTTCTTAGGAAATCAAATATGTAATTATGCATTAGGTATTATTATTCCTTGCAACAGAAAAAAATGCTTCAAATCATTCACAATAAAAGAAACATAATTTCCACAATGATACATGTTTTATTTCTTTAAGTATTTACATGACTTTAAAATTGTTACAGATAAAATGTCTGAAGTATTTTGAAAAAAATGGATTTATTAGAATTTGTTAGATGCTAAAATTAAGTCAGACAAAACCCACTGGGATATATTGAGTCGATTATTGAATCAAAGTAACAATTTGAAAAGATGAAAAGTAAAAACCTTTGGTTACTGGCTGTATTCAGAAAAATATTGTAAACAATGCAATTAACGAGTTATGTTTCATTATTTGATAAAAGGATTTTATAGCAAACAACGCTATATAAAATAGAATTACACTAAAACAAAATTGGTTCGGACGAGCAAAGTATGCCACTTACTTTCATTAACGTACAGATTATCTAAGTAGCCAAATAGCAAATTCTTACTGTGTGTTTGAAACGTAGGTGACCGGTTTGTTAGAGACAAACTTCTGACAGAAATGAAAGGGCAAGGACCACTTCGGGCCTTACTTGGCCGCAAGAATTTCTGAAAAATCAAAACCGCTCTGTTTATCTTGCAAATGCAGTATATATCATTTGGAGTGTTGGTGACCACGTTTAAATTAATCATGACGTAATTTTCCCTGTAGTCAATACATTATAACGTCTTAAAATGCGTCCTTTTCCTCATTTCCTGTTAATTTATTTGAAATTGGACTAAAGTTGAAGTATCTTTTCAATATTTCATATAAAGCACAACCTCTGATCCAAAATATGCAAACACATGATGACAGATCTGTTTATGAAGATCATGAAACATGTTTTATTTTGTGGATCATGTGCTGTGCTCATCTTTTAATTCTTTGCTGAAGGTAATCAAATACGCATGTTTTCAGCAATTTTTAAGAACATTGCAATTTCTCAAAGCCTGTTTTCCAATATCTGGATTCTTAAAAATATTTCTATAGGAAATGAAAGCTCCAAGTGTCAACTTTATTTCGATGTTTGAAATGGGAAAGAGGGTGATAGTGAATAAATTGATAGAAGTACAGGGCCATTTTATGCATAAAAGTGAACCCAGCTCTTTATTTGTAAGTTTATGCTGAGAAGTGTTTGAGGTTAAGGAAGTTATTGATTATTTCCGAAGTTGGAAAAATCTAGCGAAACCATTTGACGTATATGACAAAATGATATTTGTATAAGCCAAAGGGCTATATGATTACCAAGTAGCGTCTTATTAGCCAAGTTTATAATATTGCCTAGTGGCGAAGTTTATAATATAGTCAATTGCAAGTGACACGAGGCATTGATATAGGCAGTTGGCAGGAATCTCTGTATATACTGATTAAATTATACACTTGACTTCTGTCCTCCCTATTTGTATACATGGCTTAAACTTTACAATAGGCAAGTGTCATCTATATTTGTATATATTGCTTTTGATCTCTATGTTTGATTCATTATTGTCCTCATTAGACTTTCAAGTAGGGGCCAAAGGAGATCGACCGGGTCCTGCACGTTACAAATCCAGGTGAAAACTATAATCAGCACTCTGAAAACTGTAACCTACAGTTGCCCAGAGGATGGAGTGTACATATTTCCACGGACATAACTTGCTTTTATGGTCGGAATTCTATTGAAAGAATTCTAGTTAGAATAATCTAACTTTGTTTCTGGACCAGCCTCCCCACAGTTCAGTACAAAACATATATACATGCAAAGTAGCAAATCGGAATGGATCTGTTCCGAAATGATTAAAAAGAATACAAAAGGGGTTGCGCTGAAAATAACTACTAAAGTAATCAAAATAAACTTTACTGAGATTGTATACGCCTTTTATCCCAAAATATATTAAATAATGATATAGACGGAAATTCACCTTATTTCCTCATCAAATGTACACGCCATGTTACCATTCAGAACTCTCAGACATTCGTCAATACACGGAACGAATTCTTGCGTTATATTGGGTCCGCACACCAATATCATTTTAAAGATGGAATGTTCTATCTGTATCTATTCACAATGTGTTGTGATTTCGAATTTGTTTGAGGCCTTGTTCTGCAGTGGTCAAGGAGCAGTGGCAGATGTTCATGGGAGAGATCTAGAGGTATAAGCACAATGAATAGAAAAGGGAAGGGTATGGGGAGGTGTCCCGATCCTTTTTGTGGGGGTTCTCGGGGCCTCCCTAAGAAGAGCTTCTGACAAATGGTGTTTAATCTTACAATTTAAGAATTATGAGCATTTTCCTTTTCTTCATTTTAAATGCACTTTCAATTTGTCGTATGTCAAGTTCTGAATTCCAAGATACAACAGATGTGCAAATTTCAACACATTTACGAAAACATTTGGTTCCTTGTAGAAACCTTAACTACTGCTTTTCGATATTATGTGTACTAGAAGGTAATAAAAACAGTTCGTACAATGCTTGTACGATGATCGACTTGAATGAGTCATATACATGTAGATTTAGTGCATAAAGGACGAAAATATGGCTGCCTGGATTAGTATATTTTTTTTTTTACCTTTTTTGGTTGTGAAATATGTAACCAATACATTTCTAAAATAATACGAATTTGTAAAATTCCAATGATGTTCAAACTTATCTTTCTAGAGCAATCGCTAATAATCTATTGAAATAAATTTTTGTCACTAAAAATCCCATTGTTTTGAAACTTTGAATGAAAGCTTGAAATCCCTGTCGTTAAACGTATTCATTGAAGCCATACATATAAAGCTTATGTATTTTTTTTTTAATTTTGGATAAAAAAAAATAGTTTTATCATCTGTCCTTAAAACTAATCAAGCGATCAAACAGGGTTTACGAAATTATATTCAGTGATATCAACTTTTTTTCAAACGGATGTTTACAATGAACTAAGGATCAGCTTACAATAAAGAGCGCAATACCATCTGTATGATCTCCGTTATGGAAAGCAACTACACGAGTAACTGACTGTGTCAATTTGAACTTGGATATTAAATTTTCATTTTTTTTTTAAATTGTGACGATAAAAATTCTCAACGTCACTCATAAAAAAATTTAAAAAATCTTACTTAAAAACATGAATATCACCATACATGAACTTGAATTTCAACTTCAAGTATCGCTCAGAATGTGCTTATAACAACTTTTCTTAAACTTAATATTCTAATATGAAAACAAATTTGAATATTTCTTTTTGGTTAAAGAAGGGTTATTAAAGGACCAATGATAAGTTCTTGAGCAGAATTTGCTGATGAGACTAAAGCTGTAGTGATTACATGACTAAAGTAGCTCTTGGACTTGAAACTATTGGTAATGTAACCGAATTAAATTAATAAAATTATGTAAGCTAAAATGATTTGTTTATTGTTTTCTTTATATGTATATTTCGTTTCGTTTTTTATTATCATAAATGCACCCTTATTTCCTCTGCATTAGTAGGGCATCAATTTTGATTTCATAGTAATTTTTACTTTACGTGATTAGAAATTAACTTTTATGCAATAAAGATGGTTCATTTAAATTGCGACTATTTTTACTGTGTTATTAATCAATAATGACCTCAACAGTTTATGTGTTTATAAAGGTCAGTAATTTCATATAATTTTTCCAGAGGACCAGACTAAAGACTTTCTGCTTTACTTTTCTGTAAGATATTTCATGTTATATTTTTATGTTCAATACTTTACTTCAAGATAAATTTAACGTATATTTATGCATAAAGTATTTGATATTCAAAAAACTAAATGTCCTATCTCAGTGTATATTCAAGATGCAATTATGATGAATTTCGAACCATAACTTGAACCTTCTAGTCTTTATATATCTATCAGTTGTTTCAATCAAACAATTTTAACAATGTATAATATCCAATATATTACAGCACAAATCAGCACCCTATTAAGAATTTTAGTGCAAATTCAAAGCAATGCAAACCATTGAAATCTTGAAATAGTTTGAACGTTAATAATTAAAGAATACGAATTGATGATATTTACTTTTTTTTTAATATTTCATTTAATAAGCAGTACATCACTAAAGTTATTTATTGCTAATTTTTAAATCTTGTTTTTATTATTAAAACAACATATTTTGAATTCTTTGTTGTAAGTTAAATATTTCTCTAGTATTGATATTGACTCAAACTCTTGGTATTCTTTGTTGAACGTTCTAAAACCTATCTTACAGATTTTTATTTATCTATCTTGTAAAGTTATGGAACTCAGAGACCGCAAAAACAAGTTTCACCAAAGATAATGACATACCTTTGAGCAAGTAAAATGTTGAATTTTTAATACATCAGCTTTACTCTTTTTCTACTTTTTCTTTCAGAACGACCAAAATAATTTTTTAGGAAACATGGCCTTCTTGAAGCTTTTTATTCTTTTTGTTGCATCAATGGTTTGGGTACCTTCTAAAGGGATTGTTGGTGGAAAAAAACGTCTTTAACCTCAAAATTATTAAGCCGAATAAATGATTTGGAAGAGAGAATGCAAATACAAGAACGTATGAACAAAGAACAGGAACTGGTTATCCAAACATTAGTTCTCGAGAAGACGAGCGGGGACATCTTTTTGAAGTGTGAGCAAACGGAAACAAGTAAAATTCAGCAAAGAGCTACATCAGGTTAGTTTTAACAATGTAAAAAGGAAAAAAATACAAACTATGAGTAATGTGTCTTTCAGATATTATGAAGTACCATCATTAAAAATAAAAATGAGCATACATGCATGAAATATAATCCTTTATGTTAGCTTAATTTGCCATATTCTTGAATCGTTTTTATTAATATGTCCTTAAAACGTAGGTGGAGTTGCTTTCCAGGCATATATGTCAAACCTGAATATAATACTTGGCGGTACCAGACAGTTGTTTTCGACAAGAATGTCACAAACATTGGCGAACATTACAATCAATCCAAAGGAATCTTTACAACACCAAGTCACGGTGTCTA